CTTGCAAAATCCAGTTCCAAAGGCTGGTGCCTTTTCTGAGGCGTGCTTGAAGCAGCAGTGTGTGGTGCACACTGCACATGGAAAGCCACATATAGATCTCTGATGTACCAAGCCAGGCTCTGCTTCTAAGCCAGCTGTGTGGCTGGATAAGAAAGCAGGACTTTGCACACTGCCAAATATTGCCTTTGCGCACGATGCAGCAGCACGGTCAAGAGAATTCAAGGCATTACTTGCCAAAACTTTGGGAGAGCTAAGGGTAGTGTTGCACTTGCTTTAAATATATACTTACAGACAAAAAAGAGAGGATTTGCAGCTTTGTTTCAAATTATGGGAACAATCTCCTTTTTAATTAAGTGCGTCATTAAAGTTGCCCTAAAAGCTAATGGAATGTAAGATAAGTCACTAAGCGCTGGAGTGAATTGCAGTCCTTAATGTGCAGTTCTGTGGACTGTGGTATTTTGAGAGGAATTTCCAGTGCTAGCTGTACTGAGGGAATCACAGTCAGAAATCTTTTTCAGATTAGTTGATCCCATAAGATACAGTAAAAATCATTATGATCCCAAACCAGTTAGGAAGTGGTTTTCAGAGGGGCTTTCCTAGACATTCTATCAATGAATTCTATCTATGAATTCTATCTATACATGGCTACTGAGGAGGTGCAGCTCCCCCCTCTTCCCCACTGGGAACAGTGATAAATACAAATACACAGCATAGTTCCCTTTCCAAGCTATGCCTGAGGGCAGACCAAACTTCACCTTGACACAGATGGATGCTTTTGCTTTAAGCCTGATTGAAAGCCCTCAGCAGAAACCCAGCCACATTACTATTGTAGGAGCACACAAATGAGTTGCTGAGGGAAGCAATTTACTGCTGTCCAATTCCTCTAGAGCTGCTGACCATTGGCAGGCTCCTACCCTGCAGCTCCTAAGATATAACTGGCCATCTTCTGCAGAGGAAAAATGACTCGAGGAGAAGTGTTAGGGAGCATGGCTCAGAGAGACAACTGGGAGTCACTGATCTTGTCTTTGTGCCTTGTTTCTTTTGAAGGACAGAGCATTAATGAGGCTCTGCCCTGAAACATGTATGGAAGCTGAAAAGAGAGGGAAAATTAACTTTCACTCAACATCAAATTAATATGTCAAGAACAGAATTAATCAAGATACCAACAAAACCAAGAAGAAGAAATTCTGTAATCATCTATACATCAATATTAGAATCTTGCATAATAAACAAGAGGAGCCTGAATTGCTCATTTGGGAGCATATTTTGACCTAATTGTTATTACTGAAACCTGCTGGGAAGATCCGATTGATTGGAATATTAAAATTAATGCCTACAACCTATGTAGGAACAATCAAATGTGGGGGAGAAAGGAGAGGGGAGAGGCAATATGTGCAGGGATATATTGCCTATTTGGAGATGTTTACACCAGAGAAACATGCTCTCAAATATTAATGGGTTAACATATTTTAACAGGATACAGGTGTACAGGTCTGCTACCAATTCAGGTTGAAAAACAATATTCATCTACTCTGTATTGGTGGGAAAAGCTGTGTTTTCTTGAAGGACTTGTATTCTAGTCTCCAGCCAGAACAACGTTCATTTTTGCAGTAGCCAGGAGGGGGCATGAGCAGGACCCAGAAGTTATTCTGTACCACTTCACATCATTGCTGGGGGCAGGGGAAAGGCAGTCTTTTTCTGGAAGGAATTACTCTTTTCTGGTCAGGGCAGCTTGGCTGCAGTTGGGTTGGGCTCTGCAGTGAGGATTTTAGCATGTGAATCACTCTTCTGCGAACTTTTGTCATTAATATTGTTGCTGTTACTGTTCATTTTCTTATCTCATTGCTATCTCCAGTAAATTTTTCTTGCCTTGACCAGTGAGTTTTACCTTTTATACCTCCAATTTACCTCTCCATCCCACCACATGGGGCAAAGGGGAGGGGAAAGCAGAGCCAGAGAGCGGCACATGATTTGGAGATTTTTGCTGGAGATGCTGAATGGGGGGGTACCATTCCTAAACAACAACAGGACATCAGTCTATATTATGTGCAGTGTCTAACACTGTTACTACTAGAATATAATGCTGCTAGCAGTGAAAGATGCTTCTGAGTATTGTAGGTGACCAATATACATGCTGTCCATCAAGTTCTGATCATGAAAAAAACAAAAGTCACACTTCTTTAAAAACAAACTTAATTTTAAAAGGTAGAGAAAACAATTTTAAGAAGGGGGAGAAGGACACAGAATTTTACATCAAATAGTATATAGAAGCAATGAACAAGTAGTTGTGGGCTATGATTCTGAAAATGAAAAAGTATTGGGACATTCACAGGGAGCAGAACTGGAGCTCAAGAGGAAGGGTGTGTGTATTGCATATGCTTGTGTTACTTCTTTTGTTCCATTGCAAAACTGAAATGCCAACAGTGCAGTAACAGTGCTCAGTAAAACGCTCTGGTTGCATTTCTAGTCAAGTCAGATAGTATAAATGGAGTATGATAAAATATTTTCCATGCTAGTGGTACCACAGAAGGATATCAAGCACCAAATATTGAATAAGTGTTTCATAATGAGCAGGTTTGCACCTGAAAGCTTTAAAAATGGGTGGTAAAGAATTCTCTAGGCTGTTGATGACTTTTTGTCTCTTTTTCTTCAGTAGAATAATAATAAATAATATACAAATATTTTCAGAAAAAATAAATATCATGATTGGGAGACAACAGCCTCTCATTCTGGCACCTATGAAAAGCACAGCAGTAAAATAGAAGGTGGAAAAATCAAATGAGTACAGAATTAAGTGAGGGGGAAAAATATTAATGCCAGTCACTATGAGTTCATGGAAAACCTTTACTGAGAAAATTGCCATTTTTTAAACTGATTTTTTCAAGAAAGGCATTTGTACAAGAGAACATTTTATTTAAGCGTACCACTGCAGAGCCACAGCCTTTCTCAGTGAAATGTGATCTTTAATCTCCCAGAAGTCTGAGTAACTAGAGAGCACAGCATCCACACAGTGCACATCTAACGTGAAAAAATACTGCAAATCAATAGATCATTAAATGTTAAGGAGTTGGTAGAAAAGGAGTGTGTTTCTAGAGACTGTTCTTGGCCTTGTGACCCCTTCCACTGGTGACCTGGGAGCAAATCAGTCAGCAATGATTTGGTGTGGATGACAGAGAGCAGGTCACTGAGCTAACAGGATGCATAAGCAGGCAGGATTTTAATGTCTGAGGACAGTTATCTGTGGCAAGTCCAGGACCTAGGTAATGTTTCCTTGATGTCAGGAAAGCAGCTCGCCTGCAGACTGTTGACCCTGAAAAGTATTCATTGGGGAATAAAGTGGATAATAAAGTAAATATGATTGTCAGTGCAGAAAAATGGTCAAAAAGTAATATGACTGTTGGATATTTAAAGTGAAGAATGTTACAAATGGTATTTGGCTTTGATGACAACTTTTCTGGAACAATATGTCCAGTTCTTGTACCTGTAACTCCAGAAAGCGTCAACTTGCTGGCAAAGGGCATCAAGGGTCATAAGAACAGACAAGGAAGTGCAAGTACCATGAATGAAAGCAGTGCCATATGTTTAACTTATTCAAACTGTAGGGGATCATTTATTAGCATGGAAAAGTGAAATCTGACACTAAAGGACATTTTAAAATGCCAAACATAGGCATAGGAATGTGGCACCTGAAAAGAAGGAGAAATCAAATAAGATGTGCCTTTGTAACGATAAAAGCAGCAGATGACCTCTACTGCAACTTGATAAGAGTGGTGATAGAATTTGTGCAGCAGGAATTTTGTTTGATAGGTATTAATCTCTGGAAAAAGCACAGCATGCTTTAGACAGAGGACAGTTAGCTTGCAGGTCTCACCTGCACTATTCTTCATGAAATCACAGCCCCACAGGTCAGAGGTCAGAGGGAGAGATTCCCTGTAGCCAAGATCTGGGGAAATTAGGAAGAGCTGTTGTGGATTTCTTTTTCCAGTTTGTACTTACAGAATGTAAATTCAGCTGTTTCACTGGTGGTGTTTGATTTACTGTTGCTACAGCACATAAAGCTGCTATGAGGAAAGGAATGGAATCACTTTGATCTCCATCCATCCGGCAGCCTTGTGCAGTCAGCTGTGCACCACCATGATACTGTGATACTTTAAGTGGATCTCAACTCCCTCTGCAGATTTCTGTGGTTCTTTTCCTTCCTTTTAAATACCTAGCTCTCCTTCATCACTTTGTTAAAAATCAAAATTGAGAGTGGCTAATGTTAGTGAAACAGTAAGAGTATCATTTATTTCCCTTGTACTTGGTGAAGACTTTTGATGCCCTTGTCAACAGTAAAATTATTGTTGATGTTTTTAGGATCAGAATATTTGAGATGTTGACTTTACTTTTTAGGACACATAGCATTTCTTCCAGATTCTTGTTAGGATGACTTTTTTCGTTTATTCCAATAGAACTAAACACAGTAGTCTGGAAAATACACCACAGCATATGTGACATATGAGCACAGTCTAATCTCATAGTGAGGAATCAAAAAGGGTAAAAAAAGCAAGCAGTAACCTTGCATAAGGATATCTGTAATTAAAGACTGTCACAGAAAATAGTATTTAAATCCCCAGTACCTAATATTCAAGGACATCTACAGGGACAGGGTTTATACATTAACAGTGGCAATTAAGAGTAAATGTGACTGGGATTCATGTCAATGCCAGTTATGTGCCTGGTGAAGCGGGAATAAATAAAAATGACTGAAACAAGAATAAAGGAAGAGCCAATCAATGAACCATTAGTGTTTTCAGGGATGCTTTTCTATCACTGGTACGGTTCTACCAACTTCCAATTGACTGATTTTCATAAAGGGAGCACTATTAAGGTTAATAGCTTCAGTATATGATAGCTGTATGTTGACAGTATTCCTGGAGGCAAATGGATTTAGGTAAGCAAAAACAGAGTATAATTTGAAAGTCATGCTGTTACTTTTTTTTTTTTTTTTTTTTTTTCAGAGTATGAAGGCTCTGGGACAGAAGTTCAGAGAAAACACTCAAAATGTGGAGTTTGCAAATACAGGGCTGAGTGTGATGAAGATGCAGAGAATGTTGGGTATGTAATGTTTTCCTTAACAATATCACTGAACAAAACGGAAGAAATGTTAAAAGTACATGATTATCTGCTCCGGTAATAATGTGTTTGATACATGTCTGTAAAGAACAAACCATCTGCAGTTGCAAAGTAGTGGCAGAAAACAATAGAGAGTTGTACTGGAAAATCTTTTAGCTAATATTTTTTAAACAAAGACCCTTGATTTGTTTTATCCTGCCAACAAAACAACTCAAAAACCAAACAGGAATGCAAAATAAATACTGATTATTCAACCCTGGGATTTTTTTCTGTGTGTTCTCCTTGTTCATAAAGTGTTACATGCAGTTATTTCCATCGGTGCTAACCTTGGACCTAAATGTGAACTGGGCACTTAAGCCAGTCAGATCTTCTGACCTCACTGTGACATTTGATCTCTTACATACACCTAGGGGGAAATGAATGGAAAATATTAATTATTGTCAAAGTTCAAAACAAATTATCAAGAAACAAGAAGCCTTTAAAGACAATCCATAATGCAGAAGCAGATGTACCAAATTTCCTGCTCAAGATACATGGTTATATTACACCCCAGCTTTCCAGGCTCTGTGTGGCTCTCAGAAATGGCAGAGATATCATGAAGGAAAGGGCTTCTTCAGACAGCTCCATAAGGCTTTAAGGGGTTTTTAGGCAATTAAAAGAAGTCCTATATGCTGATGGGGTTTTGTTTTCCAAAACCTTTGTCCTGGCAGTGGCCACCAGTGTGGAATAAGGTTTACTGGGATCTGGGCTGGTGGCAGTTTTGCGGCTGCAGACACAGTGCATGAAAGTGTTTGAGAGACCTGCAAATGGTACATTTTTGTATCCAGGGAGGGAACAGCATCTCAGACCAACAGTGCCTGAACATCACCAATCAGGGAAAACATCATTCTCCCTTTTCTTGTCTTCCAGCTGGAATCCATTTAATGTTGAAATATGTCTTAATTGCACAAGGTTTTATTACAGGGTACCAGCATGAAGACATCTCAGGCAGTAAAGCAGCTTAGCACTAATATTCAAGATGTGTATTCAAGATTAAATTGTAGAATACAAGGGAAAGCAAAATGGTATTAGTGCTCATGAATTCTAGCATGACACTTCACATTTCATAAAATGCTATAGTACTGAAGCTGGCTTGCTCTTTCTAGCAGGGAGACAAATGAGCTAGAGCTGTTTTTTGTAATACTAATAATCTTTGGAATATTGCCTTGGTCTGCTTCATTTATGACTGGAAAGATTGTATAGATGAGATATATATAAATATGTATATATGTATATGTGTATATATATATATATATTTGCTATATACACTGAGATCTGGTTTTGGGTTTGGAAAATAAATCCTGATTCCACTTCAGTAAAAGATTGCCTAGTCTTTCTGCACTTGCAGATCTGGTATTCCTGCAGCTATATAGTATCTACAAAAAAATTAGGATAAAGCTGAAGAGAGCAGAAGATTTGTTCTCTACATTCTGCTCATATAAAATGAAACTGGTTCACCTCTTCTTGACAACAGGTGAAGAGTGCTCTTTTGCCTGTAAGATTTCTTTAATCAGTCCTCATTAAAGAAATAAGTGGAAACAAGAACTTTTATGTAAAAAACGCTCAAAAGTTAGAAAATATTCCCATGTTGGTTATTTGTAATTTATTGGATAATATTTTTCAATTATATAAAGGAATTTAATATAATTTATTTTTTTTCCCTGTGCCTCTAGCCATTAAAACAGTCCTCAGTGATATTCACTGTTTAGTCACAGATAAATCAGGGTCTGTTAACACAGATTGCCTTCACAAGGCTGATTTTGACAAATCAGCCAAGTTGACAAGTCACAAACTTGCTAAAGTAGAATATAGGAGTTGGCTTATTTTTTTCATAAAACCAAAACAGTTATTTACATATACATGTAATATTCATATATATATATATATATATACACCCTTTATAACTGTTTTAACATCTAATTTTAATTCTCTTTCCTGCTGTTTTTCGGTGTGGGTTTTGACATCATAAAATTACATCGTGACATATAAAGTTACTGGCAACACAAATATCTTTCATTAGGCATAAGCATTGCTAGTCTGAATTATCATTTAATTCAAATTTGCACTGGATTACAAACACTAATTTATAGCAAATCACAGGACACCCTAATTTCATAAAAATATTTTGGTTTGATTTTCCTTTTTGAGGCATAAGAATGGCCACTGGAACTTTTTTGGATAGCGTGGTAATGTCTACTGAACCACACAGAAAGAGTACATTTAGTTCCATTCATGTAGGTTTATTAGGCCTGGACAGCCCTTGTTTGCACCTTGTGATGTTAAGACACTTAACAGAGTGGCCCACGAGATAACAGAAGGCATTTAAAGAAAATTCTGCTCCATTATAGTAACTGGATGAGTTAGCTGAACTGCCCCCTAATGTTATGTAGATAATCTCAAGCCATATTTATGATACAAACAGTTAACACACAGTCATGAATTTTTTCAACCTCTTTTCCAAGCTGTGCAATCTGAGACTTTACAAACACCAGCTCCTTCTGTTCCAACTGCTCTTGAGAAGCAAAATAGTATCTGTGCAAAATGGCATCTAAGCAAAACACTCCTCATTTACCAATAAAGAAATTAATTTATGGGTAAAATGTTTAGTGAATTGGTGGGAAGGGTGCCACACATGACACCGCATGTTGAGTGGTTTGAGGTAAATGAGCTGGAATTCATGAGGAACCCCAGGACCTGCCAAAGGCCAGCCACAATGGCTAGGGAGCAGAAAAGGCAAATTTTCTCACAATAATGGAAAAATCCTGTTAAAGACAATTTTATTCCCTGCATAATGTGGTTTCTCCTTTGGGTCTGGAAAGCTATGGGATCCTATGCCAAAAAATGGTAGCACCTGACGCTTTCAGTGAAAACTGTAGGGTGATCCTTGCAACAGAGAAGCAAAAGACCATTTGTCACTTCCTGATTTTTTAGAGTTGAACTTGCTGGTCCTTAGAGTTGTGTAAGCAGGTCCTTTCTTCTCAGAGGTGCACAGTGATATCATGAGGGGAAATAAGCACATGTCAAAGCATGGTGAATTTTGGGTTGTCATAATAGAAAATGTTGCCACCATGAGGGTGGTTGGACATTCTAACACCATGTCTGGCATTTCCATCCATGGAGATGGTCTGAACTTGATCAGACACAACCTTGGGACCAACTTTGAGCAGGGGCTGGGATAGATGATCTCTACACATCCCTTAAACCCAATCTGTGAATCTGTGTAATTACCAAATCTAGGTGCACTTTAACAGCAAATTTAAAGAAGATTGGTTGTACGGAGTTGGGATACATGCTATATAGCAGATTAGTGATGTTAATTTTTTATTGCTCTTAAATTGTGTTTTCCCCTTTGAAAAAGTCACAGATTGTTAGTTTTCATGCTTGGTGTTAAAGCATTATGGCTATCTCTTGATCAAAAATGGTACGTATGGTTTTATTGTACTAGAGCACACATAGTTTGAAGAAATCAGGCTTTGCATGGGGCTTTAGATTTGTATCTTCATTTTGTTTGATTTCACAGAAACATTATCTGTCTAAACCCAAAGTGGTTACTATGCATAGTAAGCTGAATGCAAAAGTATAAACAACTTTATACTTGCCACTGCCTCTATGAAAAACATCAGCGTTGATTCTAGGTGTAGTTCAGACACAGAAATAGAGTCTGAGGAGAGGATTGTCATAAACAGCACACTTGGAAAATTTGTACTCAGCTATATGCAAAATCAATAAATTATTTCTTTATCTAAACTCAGGAAGGAATCAGGTTGAGGAAGCATCACAGAAATATATTTCTCCATATTTTTCTTCTTTTTTCATACAACTTGTAAGTATTTTAAAGAGTTTTTGATCAATCTTTTCAAGGGCATGGACAATCACTTGTGGGTGCACTAGTCTTAAATTGCATAAACACATAACATGTCATTTGCCTGAACAGTGATTTTCTGTAGGTCTGAGGTAACAGGATGCAAAGAACAGGACTCACATGGGTTGGGTGGGACTTTCTTCCCAATAGTGACAAAACTGAAACAGGTTTTATATATCATGGGAAAAGCTGCTGCCTAACACCGTTCAGTCATGTCTGCCTTTCTCCTCTGACCATCAAATATCTCTCTGGCCAGAGGCTTCCTCCTCTTTGTTGAAAAGACATTTGTCAATTATGCAAAGCAGTGCAAAATGTGTGCACAAGAGGTTGGTAGACTTATACTCTTGTGTGAGAAAGTGGCCAGAAACCCAAAAACATAGGTAGTATGAATGTGGTTGTGTGTTTTCTGCTGGAATTTTGAATTAGAAATGCAGTCGTGTTGAGAAGTGGACATGGAGAAGGCAGCACAAAGCTTGGGGACATCTAGAGCTGATGGGGTAAATTCTGTAGGTCACCATCACAAATATATATGGCTTGCTCTTGATATACCCTGAGGTATCCAGACTTTCACTGGGCTTTTCAGTTCTACTGACTGCTCATGAGAATAACAGATCATCCTATCAGTACACAATCAAAAGATAGGATCTCTAGAGGGTCTGGGCTCCTGCTCTGCACTGCAACCAGGGATAATTCACTCATGTGAGCTCAAGAACGTCTCTGGAGAGCTCTGACCATCTCTATGAAGAAAGGTTTCACAGCTGAGTGTACCTGCTCAAGGGCTGAATTTCTCTCTGGGATAATTTCCTTGCGTTCAATCAGAATTTCTTTCCTTGCAACGTGCAGCTTCTGTCTTTCACTCCTCTTTGTGTACCTCTAAGAGCCTCACTCTCATCTTCTCCATAACCCCTCTAGGGTTGCTGGTGACAGCAGTCATCTTCTCCAGGCTGAAGAGGTGCAGTGCCCCCAGCCATTGCTCACAACAGCCCACACTCCATCCCTCTACCCATCGCAGCATCTCGCCACTGCAGCCTCTCCGGTTCCTCTGAGTACTTGCTGTTACCAGTGGGTCTTCAAACAGGAC